TAATAAATATATCCAACAGTAGAAAAGAAGTTACAAAAATCTTATAAAAGTGTGGTCTAAATTAAGATTGGAGACACATAAAGACAACCACATATGGAAACAAATAATAAATAAGAAACACTGTGACCAGCACTAAGTCACTATGGCAAAGAGATGGCGGCGTGGGCCATGCCTGCACAGGTCGGTCCCGAGGACTGGGACTCACGGCCTGGAGTGCTCTCAACATCAGCATCACTTTTGTGCTATTCTGTCTCCTCCATCCACCGCAGAAGAATGTCCAGTTCCCCCAGCGCCTTCACAACTGCTGCCTGAGGCTCGAGCTGAAAGAGACACACACCGTGCGGTTAGAACTCACAAAGAGACAACACCTACTCCAGGATCAATCCTCTCTCTTACTGTAGGTCTACTGGGGATTGTGAGCAGAGCATTCTCTTCCAGATGAAGAACTTGAAAGAAATGATAGAACCTCAAGGCCTCACATGAGGAAGGGGAAATCATTGAGTCCATCACCCTAGTCTTACATGTGGAAACTGAGGCCCAGGAGGGTAGGAAAATCGGGACTACGACCTGAGCCTCTTGAATCACAGAGATCAAAGTAACTAGGCTGTTTTCTTTAGGAAAGGTGTGTGTGTGTGTGTGTGTGTGTGTGTGTGTGTGTGTGTGTGTGTGTAGGGGTTGCCTACTGTGTGTACTTCAACTGGACAGATGTTGATTGTGCCAGGCATTGGACTGGTGGCTGGGGATTCAGAGGTGAATGGCACACCCCCCCCACCGCCATCTCCAAGGAATTCACAGCTGAATGAGGGAGACGGGCAGAAATAGGCAGCTAAAATGTAGCGTAGTGAATAAATCGCAGAGCCCCACAGCACCACAGGGGAGGCACCTAACTCCTAGAGAAGCAGCCAACACCTTCCTGGAGGGGACGCCTCGGCTGTCTGAAAGGACAAGTAGGAGTAAAGTGCAGGCCTTCCTGGCAGCTGGCAGAGGTGTCAAGGTGAGAAACAGCATGGCGCAGGTGTGTGTGAAGTTGTGAGTGTTTTCGAGGGTATGCACAAATGTGTGAATGTTGGAACACTGTTGCCCCTCATTTGTGCAGCTGGAAGATCTCACTGTCCCTGGAGTGACTTTTCTGTCCATTTCCAGAGCATCATCCAGGGAGGGCACCCTTCTAGAGCCTGGACCAGTGTCCCCAGGGTTAAAGCGAGGATGGTCCCCATGACCTCAGAGGGCTGTTGACCTGAGGGTACCGGATCTCTACCAGCAGGAATATGCACCCCACTCATCAGTGATCTCAGTTCTAAAAACACACTCATCCCAATCAATGCCAAGATTGCACCTACCTCTTCGAAGTGACTCAGAATATGGCTGTACTTGTTCGT